CCCCTCCCCCAGCCTCTGCCCGCAAGGATTTCCCCGAATGGGGGAAGACAGAGGTGTGCAGACGGAGTCACTAGCGGCGACACCTAGCCCAGTCTTTATGACACCAGTAGCTGGAGGATGAGTAGGAGTTGGTCAGAGGGCACAGCATGTGCCCAGTTCAAGCAGGTCACCTGAGATGTAAGAAGAGAGGGCGGGATTATGGGAATCTGGGGTGCAAACGATGAGGCTGGAGATACAAGCAGAACTGGGTCACAGAGGACTTTACAAGCCTCCCAAGGAATCTGTACTTGATCCAAATACAATGGGATGCAGGGTTAGTTTGAAGTCTTGTGGAGACAGGCCGAGGCTGATATTTTGGAAAGATGGCTGTGGTTCAGGGAGCAGGAAGGATCAGAGCAGAGGCAAGGGTGGAGGCAGGGGGCTAGCTGTGACGTCCTGCGGGTACCAGGCCAGGGGGATGGTGATCAGAATGGGGAGCTGGAGGCGGTGCACAGAGTGGAGACAGATTCTGGAGGTAAGACCCACAGGACTTGGGGACTCCCTGGCCAAGGGAAATGGAGGGGGAGCAGAGTGGGGTTGGGTGTGTTGGGAAGACAGGGGGAATGCCATCTGAGACATCCAAGGAGGCCTGGCAAGTATGGGAGCTGGGGGTAACCCCTGACCTGGGAATGCTTGGAGCCCTCTGCTGGGAACTCTATGGAGTGGAGCGGCTTGGCCCAGTGCCAGGCTCCTATCTTTGGGACAGGCTCGGAGGCACCCTGTCAGGGGTGGGACCCTCCCTGGCCAAAGGGAGAGACGTGCCCTTCCTGCTCCAGGGCCCGTTTCAGGGGAAGAAGCAATGGAGATAGGTGAGTTCAGGGAACTCCCCACCCCACCTCCCAGCCTCTGGTCTCAGGTGTGGCCCTGGGGAAAGTTCCAAAGAAGAGGCCAGAAGCCAAGCGCCCTGGTCCTGGAGTGCGCAGGGCATCAGGGTGTGGTGGCCACACCGTTTCCGGGGAGCTGGTGTAAATGACCCCCCCACCCAGGTGACTACAGTGGGCAGTCACTGAAGCCCTGCCTGGCCAGCTCAGCACACTTCTCCATCCCCGGCCCCTCCCTGGCGCCTCCGTGCCTCCCTCGGCTGCTCTTTGCCCTCCCTCGTTAAAGCGTTAAGCGTGGTTTCTGTGAGAATGTGATTCGAATTAGCTCTTGGGAGAAAAATCACAGAAACCAGGAAAGGGGAGCCCTGGGGAGGGGGCAGTGAGTCATGTTTCCATGTGTGTTTTCCAAACTTTCCGATGGGAGTTTGGAAAACAACACTCTTGGTTGCCAGCCTGGACCTGGCTCTTCAGGGGTCCCTTGTTCTGTGTCTGCAGGTCTTCCCTTAACGGCTGCGTCCTGGCCCACCCTTCAGGCCTGCTTTGCTTCCGGGGATCCCCGACCCCTCGGGACCAGCTCATGCTACTGTAGGGGCCTGGAGAATCCCCTCCTGGGGTAGAGTTTCAGTCTTTGCATTTCATAGTGACAGCCCTCCATCTGCCCCCATTTCAGGGTGGCCAGGGGGCCTGCAGCTCTTCAAACTTTAAGAACCTGCATCAGCACCAGGAGCCTGGGCTCCAGGAGCCTCCTCTCAGCCCCAGCAGCTTCCTCTCTGTGCCCTTTCCTCCCATTTCTGTACCCCAATTCCAGAGGGCCCGTAGCAGAGGGTGAGAACCTATCACACACACACACACACACACACACACACACACACACACACCCTGCCCCGGGGAGAAGCCCTGCAAAGCAAAGACCTCATCCTCAGATCTCTGTGCCTCCTGTGCACGGGACACACCTTGGGCCCTGGGAAGGGGCGTCGTTCTGCATATGGACACAGAGTCCCAGGCAGGGCAATGGGTGGGAACCTTGAGGATGGTGGAGGGGTTGGGGAGGGCAGCCCTTGCCCGTAGCTGGCTCCTCCTTGCAGGCTGTGAGCTTTTCTACCCTTCCCTAAACTCCCATCTACTTCCTTGGGGGTCTTGGGCTAGCTGTCCCTCTCCCCTACCCCCGCCCGGCTTCTGTCTAGTCCTTCCTGGCAACAGTTGCATTTCCTGCCGTTGCTGTGCCCATGCCAACGACAGCCCACATCACATGGGCCACATCTGGCTCCGATTGAGCACACCCTCCCATCTCTTGTCCCTCCCCCTCCTCTGCCCGGGGGCCAGAGCAGGGAGTGCCTCTGTGGACCCCACTTCTCTGGGCCCATCAACAACCCTCCACCTGCCCCAGTCACAGCCTCTGATGGCCCCTCCTTGCTCTCCTTTCAGTTTCCTCACCCTCTCTTCCAGTCTCCATCCCCTGGACCTCTTGTCTCCATCCTCCAGCATCTCTTTCCTCACCTTGGACCACTCCCCTTTCCAGCCCCCACTGAGCAGCAGGGCGGGAAGGGGGCATTTTGTAAGGTTTGAGTCCCCCGAGCTGGGGGGACTGAAGTGGGGGAAGGCCTGGCAGCCCAGGAATTAAATTCATCCTAGTCCAGCCCTCTGGCCTGTTGCCAGGTTGAGGTAGGGTGGGTAGAGGTGACCCCAAGGTATGTGTGCATGGAGGGATATAGCTAGCCTTCTGGGTGGGGGAACTGTGTGGCTCACTCTGAGCTGTCTTTTGTGAAGGATGGGGTGGAGCTTCAAAGGCCTTCTGGCTACTGGCCTCCCTCCACCTTCTTCCCTGCTTAGCAACCGTTGCTGGGTAAATATTTGCCCCACCAGGATCTGGGGCTAGAGCTGCGGGCGGCGTCAGCCTGGGCAGCTGCCCCTCTCCCCAATTCCTGGGTCTCTCCTCTGCCCTGGCCCCCTCCCTGGCCCCCCTGGCCCTGGCTCCAGATGTGCTTCCTAATCCCCTCACTTCAAACCTCAGTTCTTCCTCTCTCATGTAGACTTTCTCCCCCATGTCCCTTTACCTACTCATCTCTTCCTTCTTCCCCTCTTCCGCTTTTGCTCAACTCTTTTTAAAATTTTATTTATTGATTTGGCGGGGGTGGGGGAGAGAAAAACATCGCTTTGTTGTTCCACTTGTTTACCCATTCATTGGTTGTTTCTTGTCTGTGCCCTGATCGGGGTTCGACCCTGAAACATTGGCGTGGGACGACACTCTAGCCAACGGAGCAACTGGCCGGGGCCAATTTGCTCAACTCTTTTGGTCAGTCCTCCGCCTCTGATCTGCTGAGTTGCCTGAGAAAGACCCCACCCCTGAGCCAGACAGGTCCCTGCTCCTCCCCGACCACATCCCACTGGGAGCCCAGCTGCCTATCACTCTCGATAATCATTGCTCCTCATTGAGCCTCAGGTCCTCACCTCTCTGTTCTAAGTTAAAGCCACCTAAGCTTTAACTCAGCTCCCTGAAGCTCCAGGGGGCGAGGGGTGAGGGGATGTAGGATGTTTTGATGGGCACCCTATCCGTCCTCCATCCTCCATCCTCAGGCCAGGAAGCTCTGCTTCAGGAAGCCAGCACCATTTTCACCTCCTCTGGGGCTAGAATTGAGAGAAACATGGCCAAGAGGAAACAGATGCCCCCTTGGCCCCTCCCTGGGCAGCCTGGGAGCAGCCAGCCTCAGCCTGTGCATCCTGTACCTCCAGCCAGGCTCCCACTGCCCCGCCCTCCCCAGGGGTCTCCCCATTACCTATCACTGGGATGAAGAGCGCCTTAGGGGTCGAGGGCCAAGGTGAGGTGGGCTCTCTGGGTGCTTTGTAAGTTTGGGACTTATTTGGTAAAGACGGCTAATGGGGTGCTGCTCTGGGCCAGGCCTTGGGGCTGGTTTAGGGATAGCGGGACAGAGGAATCTGGGGGGTTGGACTGAAGCAGGTGTAGAAATGAAGGGGCCTGCAGGATGTCCTGAGACTCCTCCTAGCTCTGAAGTTCTGGCTTCTAGGCAATTAATGATGGAGCGTTGGCCCAAGGCAGTCCCTGCTCCATCCCACAGGCCCTCCCTCTGGGAGCTCCTGATGGGCAGAGACCCTGCCCATCCACCTGCCCCACCCAATGCCGCTTCTCCAGAGAGGGTCCCTTGCTCTGCCCATCATCAGGACATTTGCTGATTAACCGCCATCCTTGTGAAAGCTTCCTTTCCCATTGCCTTCAGGGGCCTGAGTGCCAGGGGGACTCTGAGGAGCGCGGGGGCTACGGGGGCTTCAGGGGCTGGGGACAGGGGCGATTTATCAGGAGGGGAATGCAGGGGAAGCTGCACAGGCCCTTCCAGGACAAGGAGCCTGCCTCTGTTTCCACATGGTCACATGTCCGTGTGAAGTTTGTAAAAAGATATTCTCATGTATTTTTTGTTGTTGTTAATCTCCATCCAAGGAGATATATTTTTTTCTATTGCTTTTTAGGTAGTGGAAGGAAGAGAGGGAGAGGGAGAGAGAGACACACTGATTGGCTGCCTCCCGCACACACCCCTACCTGGGCAGGATTGGGGGTTGAACCTGCAACCCAGGTATGTGCCCTGGACCGGGAATAGAACCCACGACCCTTCCACTCACAGGCCAACGCTCTAACCACTGAGCAACAGCGGCCAGAGCCATTCTCCCATTTTCTAAAGAGGGACTCCCCACAAACATTGGAAGAACATGCAGGGAGACCAACTGTCACAGTTTGCCAGGGATTGTCCGGGTTTTAACGCTGAAGCCCAGGGCACGCCTCAGCACTCTGCAAACCGAGGCAGCTGGCTGCTCTGGTTTCAGGCCCCGCACGCAGTAGGTCTGCACCTGGATGCGGGGAGGGTGGAAGGGAATCCCTCTGGGCCTCACTTCCCCGAAGTGTGTAGTCAGGTCAGGGGCGTGGGACTTGGGGGCCCCTTTCCTCCAGCCCCTTTCCAAGAGTTGTGGCGCTTGTTTGTTTCCTTGGCAACAGGGAGAGGAAATCCCTATTTAGGAGCCGGGGAGGCCCCGGCAACCGCGCACACACAGACACACACAGCCTCTCGCGGGCAGCCCGGCCGCCCACACGCAGGCGCCTGCGTCAGCGCCTCGCCTCGGGCAGCGCCGCCCCACTCGGGTCCGGGGGCGGGACCTCCCGGCAGGCCCGAGTCCCAAAGGGGTTCCAACTTCTGGGCGGGGGGCCGGGGCCTGGGGCCCATGGGCCCCGCCCAACCGGTTCCGGGCCCCGAATTTTGCCCGCCCCTTTTTTTCTTTTCCCCACCCCGCCAGGTGAGGCCGGGCCGAGCTGGGGGGTGGGAACGGGAGAAGCAGCGTGCGATTCACGGCGGGGGGCAGGGGCAGCGGCAGGGGCAGCGGCAGGGGCAGCAGCCCAAACCGCGCCATGCGGATACTTGTTACCTAATAGCAGCAGGTGGGGGCGGTGGTTTGGGGTGCGGGGAAGGAGCGCCAGGGTTTTGCTCTTGGATTGGTCCCCGTGGTCGGGAGAGAGGGGCGGGGTGGTTCTCCGGGGGGTTGGGGGCCGGCTCCCGTCACTGGCCAGCGGTGGGGCCTTGAGCAGATCAGTTAACCTGCCCAGACCTCAGTGTCCCCATCTGTGTGATGGGGACAATGGCGCTTGCGCTGTGCACCTCAGAGAGACTCCAGAGGCTTAAGGTAGTCATCCTGATTGTGAAAGGGCTGTCACCTGGGAGACCTGCCAGGTGTGAGGTGTTGTCCGGCCATTTCCGGCCTGGCTGGAGCGGGGAGGGAAGACAGCCAGCTCTGGCTGAGCAGCCAGCCTCTCCACATTCCAGTAACGTTAATGCCGGTGCCTAAAGAGGAACTAGCCCCTCCAGCTCTGTGCAGAGGGATGCCCTGTCTCTGGTGGTGGTGTGAGAGGGGGGTCAGAGCACCACTTGGGGGTTCTGCGTGTCCTTAGGCAAATCTTTCCTCCTCTGGCCTCAGGAGTCCACTTGTAAAAAGAGGGAGCCTCCCGGGTGAGGGTCAAGATCACAAGGCAAGGGCCCCCAAACCTCCCTGTTAGACTTTGCCTCTGTCATTTAGTATATGGGGCTTTAGGGGTGAGATGTCATTCAAATGAGGGGTGCTCCGGCTTTACAAATGGCTGTCAACCACTCCTTCTAAGAGCCTTTCCCACTAAACTAAATCGAGCCAATCCACGCTGAGCCTGCATTCTCTCTCCCTGCCGCGTCTGGGTGGAAAGAAGGCAATCTCATCTGTGCTACCTCAGTCCAATTACTCAACCTTTGGAGTTTTGGGTTCTGGGTGTACAAAATGCAGATAATCCTACCTCATTATGCTGAGGGGTGAAGGTTAAATGGGATTACCTCCAGATAGCTCCTAGCAAAACCTCCTGTATGCCAGGCGCTGGGCCAAGTGTTAGGGACACAGACTTGGTCCTTCCTATCCCTCACAGCACTTGTGGGGTGAAGGGTCATAGAGGGAGGCCCAGGATGCTATGGAAACAGAGGAGCACCCCCCTCCCCAAGGTCATTGGTCTTCAAGACATGTGCCCCGTCACTGCCTACATTACCCTTGGACTCAACCACTGTATTCTTTTTTTTTTTTTAACAGAACATGATCATAGTTCAATGCAACCAAAAATAAATATTTTTATATCGCTCATTAATGGTCCAGCTCCCAGGCTTCTGGAATCTATTTGGACTTCATCCAGTTCAGGGTCCTATGCTGCTCTTTAACCGCTGTGCTTGGTTTTGCTTCTCTAGTAGTTACTTAAAGAACCACTTAAAGAACAGGCAAGTCCTTAGGCTCTCAAGGTTATAACAATCACCTGTGCGCGAGGCATGAGTGATTCAGCACTTTAAGACTTGTTTAGCACCAGACCCTGTGATCAAAGGATGAACCAGACAGGGACCCTCTGAAAAGGGATTCCCAAACCATGGCCTTGACTCTCCAAATCACCTCCACTTCCTAGGTCCTCCTCCAAAGACCACCCCGTCCACCCCTCCGGGAGTATAACTGTCTCCCCCATGGCCTAGGATGCATTTGAATGTTTTGAATTTCCCATCCCCACCTGTCCAGGATTATAGCCTAATGGTAAGACCTTGGCATTCAGTCAGGCCAGCCTGTATTCAAATTCCAGTTCCGCCGCTAAGCCTGTGACCTTAGACAAGTGGTTCTCAACTGGGGGCAGATCTTGTCTCCCAGGGGACACTTGGCAATGTGAATACTTTTTTGATTGTCACAACCTAGGGGCAGAGGTGTTACTGGCATTCAGTGGGTAAAGGCCAGGGATGCTGCAAAACATCCCACGATGCATGGCCCCTCCCCCAACGACAAAGCATTATCTGGCCCAGAATGTCAATGTTGCCAAAGCAGAAACACCTGCCTTATCTGACTGCCTTAACCTCCCCGGCTTTGTTTCCTCGTCTGTAAAATAGGGCTAATACTAGGTTCTACCTTGTAGAGCTATTGTGTAGGCCCAGCAAGGTAATGTGAATACCTAGTGCCTAAGAACAGTAGGTCCTCATAAATACTCCCTATACAGTCCTAATTAGCCTGCCTCTGGAATGCCTCCTGGTGTCAGCCCTCTGCTAAGCCCGCTCTGTTTGGCTTGCTTCTTGCCAGGCCAGTGCCTCTGACTCCTTCCTTGCTGGTCTCCATGCCTCCCTTCTCTCCTTTGTGACCCTAGCCTTATCAAACAGCCAGAATCCTCCCCCTCAGACCCCATCCCAGCACCAGCTCCTACCTCCTCTCCCACTTCTCCTCCTCCCACACTTTCCCTGCCTCACCTCTGGTGGCTGGGCCAGCTCCTTCTGCACAGACTTCCTCCTGGCCCCATCCACCCAACACCTCCCACACCTCCAGCCAAAGTGGCATAAGATAGTAAAGTACATCTTGGATTTGGACCAGGATGCCTGGTCCAAGTCTGTGCTTGGCCTATTACTTACTGTCCAGGTTTGAGAAAGTCAGCCTCACCCGTAAAATAGGAAAATAATCCCCAATCCATGAGGTGGTTTTGTGGACCAAGGTGAGAATGTAGGTGAAAACATACGCCTGTAAAGAGCGTAGAAGTGTAGTTATTCAGTTTGTTGAGCCTTAGCCCACTTAATATTTTTTATTTTCATAGTGTTTACCACCTTCTAACAAGCTGTAACTTTGTCTTTTATCGATTGTCTTCCTCCACTAGAATGTCAGCTCCATAAGGGTAGGGATTTTTGTGTTTTATTCACTACTGTACCCCTAGTGTCTAGAGCAGTGCCTGGCACATAGTAGGTGCTCAAAAGTATTTGTTGGATGAGTGAATTCACTATGTATAAGGCACTTCTGTAAAGCCCCTAACTCTACCTCCTCCAAGAAACCTCCCTGCAGATGCTTGTAACGTAATCACTGCAGCATCCCCATGGTACAGGTAAGGAAACTTGCCCAGTCACTCACCTGAAAGTGTCAGGGCCAGAGGCATTTGTTCATTTAAAACACTGAGCACCTCCTGTATGCCAGGCGCTGGGCCAAGTGTTAGGGACACAGACTTGGTCCTTCCTATCCCTCACAGCACTTGTGGGGTGAAGGGTCATAGAGGGAGGCCCAGGATGCTATGGGAACAGAGGAGCACCCCCCCCCCGCAAGGTCATTGGTCTTCAAGACATGTGCCCCTTCACTGCCTAAATTACCCTTGGACTCAACCACTGTATTCTTTTTTTTTTTTTTTAACAGAACATGATCATAGTTCAATGCAACCAAAAATAAATATTTTTATATCGCTCATTAATGGTCCAGCTCCCAGGCTTCTGGAATCTATTTGGACTTCATCCAGTTCAGGGTCCTATGCTGCTCTTTAACCACTGTGCTTGGTTTTGCTTCTCCCTCTGTTTTCTCTACCAGTGGCCAACTCCTTTGAGAGAAAGTACAGTACAGTGATGGCGAACCTATGACACGCGTGTCAGAGGTGACACGCGAACTCATTTTTTTGGTTGATTTTTCTTTGTTAAATGGCATTTAAATATATAAAATAAATATCAAAAATATAAATCTTTGTTTTACTATGGTTGCAAATATCAAAAAATTTCTATATGTGACACGGCACCAGAGTTAAGTTAGGGTTTTTCAAAATGCTGACACACCGAACTCAAAAGGTTCGCCATCACTGCTCTAGGGCCAAACCTGAAACCTTTTGGTGTACAGGATGATGCTGCAACTAACTGAGCCGCCCAGTCCAGCCTCAATCCCCATGTCTTGAAAGCCACTCTGCCCAGATGAGGAAACTTGGGCCTAGATAATTCAGTAGCTCTGTCATCACCCAGCAAGTGAGAGGCAGGACTGGAAGCTGGTCCCCACCCAGTCACAACTTCCATCACTCTCACCCCCAGGAGACGGCTCCTCTGGCCTGGCTGGCCTCCCCTGCTTTCTCCTGCTTCTTCAGGGGCTGGGATCTATGCCCTGGTAGGAGGAGAGCGACTGATGACACTTGGGGTCCAGAGTTAGGATTGAATTTTTAGGATGAAGGCCCACTTTGAAGCTCAGATTTAGGATGGAGGCCATTTTGGTGATGGTGAGGCAGGGGACTTTGGAAAGAGTCTAGAGTGAAATTTGGGGTGAGATTCCCCTCTCCTTTCTCCTGCCTCTTTTCTCCAAAGATAGGGAGGTCTACGATAGGAAGAGTTAAGTGTGGCTTTGCTTCCCCAGCCAGGAGGAGAAGCCAGACCAGGCGGGGACTGGGTGGGGCGGGGAGTACCAAGGGTTGCTGAGACAGTGAGAACAGCAGGAGCCCTGTCCCTCACATTTCACTGGCTCACCCACCCCTCCTCCACTCCTGGTTTGGGGAACAGAAGAGGGAGAAGCAGAAGAAGACTTTTTGTTTTCTCTGGGAAGCCAAGTTTGGGGGCTGCCCCCTGGGATAGAGGGCTGCAGGGAGAGGAAGCCATATCCTGGGTCCTCGCCTGGATGCGTCCTGGATGCTCACCACACTGCCCAGTGCCCTCCTAGAGATGGGAACCCCCGCAGCTACTCCCCCCCAGGTGCCCCTCTCTGACACCGAGGCCCTGCCTCCCTTATCCATCTGAGGCCAGCTCCAGAACCCAGAGCAGAGGGCCTGTCCAGTTTTGCTTCCCTTGCATGTGACAGGAACCCTGATGTCCTGGAGCAGTAGGAGGTTAGCAACATAATTTAATTTACCAGGTTTTCTCATCAGAAGAAGCTTGTGGAGGCGCAGGGGGGAGGGCACCCATGGGGTTCCAGAGCCTCAGAGAGAAGATGGGGTGGCTGGGTGGGGCCAGGGCCAGAATTAGGGGACAGGAGTGGAAGGACTGATCAAAGAGGTCCTTGGTGAGGCCTGGGGATGGAGTCCCTTGCGCTTGGGGTGGGAAGCCTGGGGACCTGGATGATCCTGTTTGGTGAGAGGGCCTGGCCCCTCCCCAGAGCCAGCT